CCCACTTTTCGTCAAGCAGCTGCCCAGCATCACCGGCATCATTTCCGGCTGGACCAAGAAGCTGTCCGGCACCACCGGCATCATGTTCGCGAGTGTGCCCCGAACCAGCTGGAAATTTGCCAATTGAAGGTGGCTTGAGCTTGGAGTCAAAATATGCACCTTGCGTATATACGTTTTGCAGTGAAACAGTCGAAACAAATCACATAAACTACTCTTGGTAGCTTGCTGTGGACTACTGTGTTAGAACAGACCATGTACTAAACCAGGTGAAACATGTGATGCATTCTGTACGGCCATGTCGAGGTACACAACTCGATACTCTGAGGCCACGACAGATGTAACGACGCATGCTTTGATCACCTGGCTCACAGTGCACATCGGTCGGCGTGGTATCATAGTAGGCAAACAAGTAACCAAGGTGTGTTTTCTTCGTCATAAATGACATACTGCAAGAACTCCAAGAAGGACAGAATCACCACGATAAAGGGAAGCGAGAAGCCATGGCCTTAGACTCGAAGGTTGCCTTTCAACAGAGGGCGGCGCAGTGTCTCATTCCTTTGTCCAGCATTGATGCACTTGAAGCAAACGGCATAGACACGTATGCAACCTTTGCATTTTGCTGCAATTATCAGCCAGGGTCACAGGACGATGGGCCACTCTTTGATTACTTAGAGCGCGTGCTTGGATCCAGGCCTGATGCAGCTGAATCAGCAAAGTTTCGTAGGCTGTTCTTTGAAGCTCATGCATTGTGTCTCCAAGATTTGAAGAGCAGACTTGAGAGAACAGAGAGTAGTGAGACCAAGATTTTGCCACTAGCAGAAAAGGTAGAACGCATTCGGCAGTTGAAGGTCAGACTGAATGGACTGATCATAACTCCAGCCCTGGAACCTTCACACCAACTGATCGACAAAGTCGTCGCTCAATATGAAGAGAACTCAATCAAGTATTTGGAGCTGTCCTCATGCACCTCACGAGAGCAAGAAATCTTGTCAGAGAAAGCTTCTCCTTCGTTGAGTTTTGACGACTCAGGCCGAATCAAAGTCACCAAACGTCAGGAACTTGCGGATTGCAGCTTGTCAGGAGATTTGAAGTTGCGTTCAGCCCTCACCAGGCGGGCTTTGGCATACGAGCTGGCAGGAATCGCTTCGTTCTTGACATTGGAGAAATGGTCAAACATGCTGTTCGAGAAACTCCAAACTGATCCACCGCCAGGTTATCGATTCGTGAATCATGAACAGCTGATTAGAGCAGATAAAGCACTGTGGCTCAAAGTCGCCGAGGAAACACGTGCCAGAGTACAAACAGGAGCAACGTTGGCAAAGCCTGTCGATGTTGCAATTGAGAAGTGGTGCATTCACCCTGAGGTCCAGCTGTACCTTATGAACATGCCGTCGAATTCATCAGGCGCGACCACGGTGCCGCCGAAGACAGATCCCCCAGTGCTTAAAAAGCCACCTAAGACAGTGCTTAAAGACCAGACAGATAAGACTGTCAAAGGGAAGTCAGTAGGCAAAGGCCACAAGATTACAGTGCCAGACGATTGCGAGATTAAGTTTAACGGAGGCAAGCCGATTTGCATGAAATTCAACCTCGGTATTTGCAGAGCCAACATCAAACCGGGTAAGCGATGCATGTTTGGTTACCATGTGTGCTGGCGCAAAGGCTGTCACAAGCCTAGCTCCGCGGTGGAGTGCACCCACTGAAGCCAGGCTTACAACCACGGTTTATTTGCAAACGCTTCGACAGTACCATGCTTCGTGGAGCTCTTCTCAGGCTCAGGCAATTTGTCAGCTGCGATGAGGAAACGAGGCTTCAGAGTGTTTGCAGTGGACCATGAATTCAATGCACACGTCCCTAAAGTGTCTACAATTAGTTTGGATCTCCAACGAGAACCTCACCAGCAAATAACTTTGTCCATGATAGCCACGGTTAAACCTGCAGCTATCCACTTGGGCCTGCCTTGTGGTACGTGCTCGAGGGCCAGGGATAAAGCTTTACCAGTTTCACTGAGGTCATCCTTTCGGGCTCCACCGCCTTTGAGAGATGCACAAAACTTACTCGGATTTTCTTACCTCACCGGAGTCGATGCAGACAAGGTGGCAGCAGCCAATAAGTTGTATCAGTTTGCCGTAGAGGTTTTGCGCCTGTGTTATTCCCATAACTTGCAAGTCTCGATAGAGAACCCGGAACGCAGTTGGCTCTGGGGAGTGCTTACTCTTTTTGTATTGCGAGATCCAGATTTGAACTTTGTCGAGTGGTTCCGAAACTTGGAAAAGGTATCTTTTCACTCATGTATGCACGGCGGTACCAGGGCCAAGCACACCCGTCTCTTGGCGTCTGCGGGGCTGTATTCCCAGTTGGCCATGTCATGTGACAATTCTCACCCCCATGAGGCATGGAACATTGCCAAAACGCCAGACGGCCTCCGCTTTGACACAGCCTTGGAGGCCGAGTATCCGTCAATGTTGTGTCAACGTATGGCTGATCTATTGGCAGCCAAACTCCACTTGCCTGTGGTCCCGCCGCCATTGGCGCCGCATGCAACAGCTCGAAGAGCCTTAGGTACCCATGTGAAGAGAGCACCGCCGCTGGTTTCGGAATTTCGCGAAATCCTGCATCTCGACTCTGTGCCATCAGACCACAGTTGCAAGGTGCTTACATCTCAATAGACGGGGGAACAGTCCGAGATGTACAAGCAGTCAGACACAGTGGATACAAATATGGAGGGCCAGAACGCCACAAAAAGGGCAAAGAAGATGTATAAGGTGGGTGTGCAACACACACCACAACAGTTCTTCGAGTTAGCAAAAACCCTCACACATCCCATGACACCGGAGCATTCGTTGCCGGAGGTGCTTAAGGAGGCGATTCACAAAAACTTGACCGAACCTCAGGTTGACTTGGCAAAGAGTCGCATGAGGGCCATTTTGCTAATCAAATCCATGGCCGAAGACTTGGAGGAGCAAGAGGAGCAGTTGAAGAGGAGCATGCAGAGCATGTATCGAAGGTTTTGTGCAATAAACGCATTCTTTTGTGGGAGGCACTTTTGAAGGCTTCAGAATACCCGGACTTGGAAGTTGTAGACTTGATGAAGTCAGGAACAGCTCTGACTGGGGAACATTCAGTGGCATGCAATTATCCCGCTGACTGGAAGCCGGCTACAGCCACAACGCAAGAATTGTTAGACTCGGCGCTGTGGAGGAGAAAGTCGTTGCAAACCACTGAAGATGAACACTCAGATAGCTTGCGCAAGGCCACACTCGAAGAAGTCAAGCTCGGACACTTGCAAGGGCCTTACACAGAAGACCAAATACATGCAATGTTCGGTAAAGACACTTGGCTATTCACCAAGAGGTTCGCGCTCGAACAAGGAACTCCAGAACATCCCAAAATTAGAGTCATAGACGACTGTAGGCGAAGTGGCTTGAACTCGGCATACACAGTTAACTTCAAGCTTGAATTGTTGGACCTAGACATTCTGGCTGCGGTCCTCATGGCGATATCCAAAGCTTGTAGTTCCCAGACCGTGTCGTTGAGGGCCACGACAGAGCAAAGGCCGACAAATAGAGTGCACCCGACAGTCTTGCAGGATACGTGGCTCGGTAGGACGGTCGACCTGTCCAAGGCGTACAAACAGATGCCCTTGGATGAGCAGTCGATTCGTATGTGCGTGCTTGGGTACCCAAAAGACGGACAATGGATGTACTACACCACTACGGTGTTACCCTTTGGAGCGTCGGCCTCAGTGTATAGCTTCAATAGAGTGTCCAGATCGATTCACTACCTTCTCTGTTCCTTTTTGCATGTCATATGTACTGTGTTCTTCGATGACTTCCCAATGGTCTCAACTAGGACTGCAGCGGGACTGACGTCAAAGACAGTAAGCTACTTTTTGAACCTTTTAGGTTGGGACCATGCGCAACTAGGTTCAAAAGCAGTTGACTTTTCAGAAGAGTTCACAGCGCTTGGCATAACCGTGCAGTTACGGGACTTGCATAGAGGGAGCTTCGTGTACACCAACAAAGAAGGCAGGGTTCCAAAGATAATTGGAATGCTTGATAGGTTAGCGAAGCAGAATAGTATAAGTCGTGCAGAGGCTGCCGAGCTGCAAGGTCACATCAATTTCGCTGCAGGATTTTTTCCTTGATAGGTCCATTCGATTTTTATTTGGCAGATTCGATGCACTTGCAAAGACTCATAAGTCAGGCCAACAGAATGCCGTGCGACCTCTTTGTGAGTTGGCTAAGGCCATACTTTTGAAGTCAAGGCCGCGATCCTTTGAGGCTGTGGCCATGGATCAGCCGCACTTGATTTTCACGGACGGTGCTTGGGAAAATGCACAGGCTTCGGCAGGTATGGTCTTTCATAATGGGGTCACTCAGCAAACTGAAGTGCAAGAGATCCACGTCCCTCCAGAGCTTATAGAGCACTGGAAGGCAGAGGTAGGAGAACAGTTAATATGCCAGATAGAAATGTATGCATACTTGGTTGTTCGTTTCGGCAAGGCAACACTCCTTCATAACCGAGCAGCCATAGCTTGGGTAGATAATGAGGCAGCCAGGATGGCCATAGGAAAGGCAAGTGCAGACTCGCCTACGCTAACCGCCATGTGTAGGGTCTTGCAAGAGCTGGAGTCCCAATCTCCTTCGCTTCTTTGGTCTGAAAGAGTAGCTTCGTATTCCAACCCAGCAGATAAGCCATCAAGAAAGATGGTGAGAGAGGCAGCAGCAGAACTTCGTGCAACTCCCAGGGATGAGCCACTCATGCTGCCCAGTGCGGTGATAAATGAGATAATCCGAATCTTTTTTGAACCAATGTCACTAGTGAAGCTGACCTAAGGTCTCTCGAT